GTGGAAAAATGAAAAGCCGGGATATTTTATTCAGATTTTTTTTTTAAGTCACGAGAGCGCAAACAGGAGATTACAATTATGCCATTTAAAAGGATAAATACAAAACATTATGCATGCCTTCTTTAGGTCTGATCTTCCTTGTCTCTTTACCTGATGATTATTATTAAGAAAAAGAAAACCCTGTGTATTAAGTATCTGCATCTTTCAGAGAAGATTTAAAAAGAAAAGAACTCTCGGGTTTCTTGGTTTTGCACAGTCTTGGAGACAAACTCTCTTTTGTTTTCTTTTTGTTTGTTTTGTTTCCTTTTAAGTTAATGAGAACCCTAGCTTGGTATGGCCATTATCAAACACAGCTGTACACCTTTAGCATTCTTAATGTTCTCTTATGGGGCTAATATAAGCATCTATATAATATATATTATAAATATCACATTTTAAACAGGAAATGGAAGGCATTTGATGCAGAATTTTTGCATGATATAGAAATAACTAAAGTTAGCTAGTGTTTGTTTGTTTGGTCTGAATGTTGGTAGAACCTTCATAGCTTTGTTACAATGAAACCTTGAACTGAAGATATTTAATAAAATAACATTTAAACAGTGTGCAGTTTTTGAGTGTCACATTTTTTGTTTTAACCGTGGGACTTCTGGCGTAAAAATCATTTTTAAAAAGAGCTACTTTACACGTCGGTAAATAATGTGTTTAGAAACTACCGTATTTAAAAAGAAAAAGGTAAGTGATGCTGTAACTGAAAGGAAAAGGTGATGGCATTATTTAAAGCTAAGGGCCAGGAGAGCCTATGCAAATGAACTTCAGAATATTTCCCTGATGGACCAGGGAATAATAGGGAAGTGTTGTTCTGGCCATGATAGCCTAGCCTAGCTGTGCTGTTACCTCCTTTCTTGGTCTGTGTTTTCCTCGCCTGTATTTCAGCCTTTTTGTGGAAGAAATGTCTCACCTTTGGGTTTGCCTGATGTAGATGTACTGATGCAAGCTGCTCGGCAGCCCTAGGTCTGCTAACTGTCCTATTTATTTCGTGTTCTAGAATGGGCTCCTGCAGAGCCACCTGCTCCAGCAGTGCAAGGGGTTTGCAGAGCAGAAGTTGTTTGGATTTCAGCTGCTGTCTTCGCTCCTCTCAGACCTTCACTACCTTGGCCTTTTCCTTCAGTTTCGTTTCCAGCCTCATGCTGCTCAGGCTGCTTGTGCAAGAGCAGACAGTTGCCTTCTGCCTGGAGTTACCCTATCCCTGCTAGTGCCACGTACTGCTGCAGCTGCCCCTTCCCACCCTGAGATTGCCAGGGCTGCACTGCCTGCTTGCGTGCAGGCTGCTCTGAGCCCAGGTGGCAGGTGCAGGCCTGGCCCTATAGGTCATGCTGGTGAACCACTTTGGTGGGCAGGGGCTGCCTGGCCTGTCATAGGAAGGGAACTTCGTGCCTTGAAACCCCTCAAAGTGCTGCAGATGCCTAGTAGTCAGTTGGTACTGCTTGAGGAGGTGATTGCTTTTCCTGCATGAAGAAACTGGAGGAAAATTGTCCTTAGTTTGAAGGGAGGTGAGACTTTCGCAGCCTGCTTAAGTGGGATGAGGCCATCTGCTCATGGCCAGCAGGTAAGCTCCTGCTGTTGCAGTTAATTTTATCTGGTGATCTCAGAAGAGGTGTTGCAGTACAATTCAATATGCAGTAGGAAAAGATATACAGTTAGTGATGAATTTCTATGCTTTTTGTAGCTCTTTTAACGAGGACGAGCCATTTACTCACTGCTACTGAAAGCTGCACAACAGGCAGGCTGGTTTTAGGTTCTGCTGGAGCCTAGGTTGGGTTTGGTGATCCCTGTGGGTCCCTTCCAACTCAGGATGTTCTGTGATTCTGTCAAGAATATTCACGTAGCGTATACTGAGCTTTTCAGCATATTTATGAGACATAAGTATATTTATTAATAAAGATTATGCTGTTCAAGTTGCACTGTATATGCCTTCACCTCCTGCAATTGCTCTATTAGTTGTCTTAGATGAGGGCTCAAAAAATGTGCCAATTTGATAAATTCTGTTCAGAAAGGATTCTTGTCTTGCTTTCATTTGTCACGGAGGGGATTGGGAATTGGGAAAGATCTGCAGTTTCACACCTCTAGCATTAGAGCCTGAGGCTGCAAAGTTGTCACAAATTTGTTTTCCAGTATACCATGCCTGATTGGAATCTACTCATCCTCTTGGATAGCATCTGCCATCTTCCTAGCTAAGAGAAGTATGTGAGCACAGTTTCCCCATCTCCCCTTTCTCACAGACCTATAATTAACACATGGAGTGACTGATTATGCTGTGAAAGACCAATGACCAATGGTAGCTTTTACTGCTGCTTAAACCAGATGTCCGTTTAAGCCAGGACTGACCTGCTGTCACTTGCTGGGCTAGTAGAATGTGTTTTGGCAGGATTCTGTTGTGCTGTGCCATGCATGAGAGCAGGAGAGAAGCACGAGCAGAACTAGACCTCAAGTGTGCATAACCTTTCCATTTTGTGATTGAAACTATCACCCTTTCCTCACATATAACTGATAATCTGCACAAATGGAGGGAGTGTTTGGCTAGCAAGCAGGAGGCCTGCAATCTGTTTCTGGTTTTGCTGTGGCTCTGCAGGGAGACTGGAGAGAACCTCACCATGTGCTGATAACGTGGCTGACCCTTGTGGAAAGCCAGATCACTGACTGGCAGTGATGGAGAGCAGCTGGGTGGTATTGCTGCTACACTTCACAGGCTGCATTTTTCTTTCCCCTAAGACTGTGAAAGGTTTAGAACTGCAGGGTAATGCACCTGGAATGATTGTTTATTTGAGTTTGGAACTGATTTATTTTAGAGCTGGGAAAGGTGGTCCTTGGGGCCACATAAAGCGGCTTGAGTGGAGTATTATGAATCTTTCCCATGAGATGTGAAAATGCCTCACCTGCAGAGCCCTGCCGGCCAGTAAGGAACAGGAATTTATTGGTGTGTAGCATCACAGAATTGTAAGTAATTTTTTTATACTTAATTTGTAGAGGAAAAAAAAAACAAATCACATTTTGTGGTTTTTGTAGCAACCTGGCCATAGTGGAAGGATGCAGGAAATTTTGTCAATACAATGTCAGTCTGAAGTTTCCTGATGCCATGCTGGGGTACCCTAAAGAATTCAGTATTACTTACCTCTCCCCAGCATTTCTGTGGAGAAGTGCAGTGTTTGTACCACGCAGGCTACAAGCTGCTTGAGACAAACAATTTACAGGCAGAACATATCCTTCTTGGGGAGGTGGTCTGAACTGTGAGATAGTCCCAGTGTTTTTAAGAATCTTCAGCAGATCCCACTCTTGTTCATCCTATGATAGTATTAATGCTGACATAATTTAAATAATCATAGGTCAGCAAGTTCGAACGCCTAATTTGCTGTAGATGTACAATGTCCATAAAAATATCTCATACCAATACTTGGGGAGCTCTTTGGTTTCTAGATGTGCTGTCATTTGTCTTTTATACTCTGACCTTCCCCTTTGAAAGAAATGGGTTTCCTGACCCACTGAAATGTAAAGAGAAGAGGGCAAGTTGAAAATACTGTTTTGTTTCTCTTTACTGAATATGCAGGGAAGTCTGTGTGCTTGTGCGTTTTGTTGTTGCTTGTTTTATTTAAAATCATAAGCTTTTTGTATCTTTAGTGGGGCCAGGAAGGTCAAGGACAAGAAGGGCTTCTTTTGTAACTGGAGAAGGAAATGAGGGAGCACGTGGGCAGGGTGCTGGCACCGTGGGGAAGGTAGAGCTGCTGAAAGCCATCATTGCTTCAGTGTTCGTGGCCACTGCCTGCACCTCTGACCCAGGAGGCGAGGGGAAGGCTGGAGGTAGAAAGGCTTGGCTGAGGATCACGTAGGCAAATGTGGCACGCATACCTCTGCGGGTCCCAGCTGGGTGTTGCGGATGTTAAATCTAGGCTGCTCCTGATCCTATTCCAGCTTATTTCTATACCGGAATATCAGTTTGAAACATTAAATCTAACTGTACAGAACACGGTTATGGGTCAAAAATTCAGCTCGGCGCTTTGCGTTGCGCGCAGTGGCTTCCCTCCGTGGGGCTGCGTGCCCGCAGGTGTTCGGGAAACGCAGCTGCCGCGCTATGCCAGGTGCTGCCCTCCGTTGCCGCGATGGCTGCGGGCGGGGAGGCGGCGTTCGATCTGACGTGAGCCCTCCGGCACCCGCGTGGGTTAATTCGACCACCTGCCGCCACGCGCTCGGCTCCCGCAGCGGGAGGCCGGGGGCGCTCTGCGGGGGCCGGGCACAGCCGCCTCCTCGCCTCCCCGGCTGCGGCAGGTGTGCCGAGAGCCCGCGCGCAGCCGGCCTCGTGCAGAGCGAGGCGACCGCCGGCACGCGCCCAGCTCGCTCGGCGCGACGGAGCGAGCGGGGCCGCGGGCTGAGTCGCGGCGGGCTTAGCCGAGGCAGCGCCGGGCGGCCGGCAGCGGCACTTTCGGGCTTCTGCATCGCTTCGGCCAGGACGCACCTCTTCGGGCGCCGGGTGAGTGAAGCGCTCCGTTCGAGGCCCGCCCCCCCCAGCCTCCCCGCGGCCCCGGCGCGAGCCGCGAGCGCTCCGAGCGCCTCGTGCCGACGGGAGCGCGGCCGTCGTGCTGCTCCTCGCGCAGCTCCGGCTTCCTGCTGCAGTTTTCCTCGTGTTTGCGCGTGGGAAGCTACACCGTGTTATTTCCCTACAAAAGCTGCCGCGTGCCTTCCCGCCTCCGCCCCACTATTGGCGGCCGCGGCCCCATCCCGCACAGCCCCGCCGCTCCCGTTCCCTGCGCTGCCCCCGCGCCGCCACTGCCGCCCCCGGCTCCGCTCCTCCCGCGGCCGGGCCGGGCGGGGGGCGCCGGGCGACGGCGAGGCGGGGCCTGGCGCTCCTCCCCGCGCGGAAGATGGCGGCCGGGCGGCGCGGCGGCGGCTCCCCCAGCGGCCGGAGGGACGCCCAGCGGCCGGGAGCCGGCGGGCCGCGGCCGGCTTGAGAGCTCTGCGCTGCGCCGGGGGACCCAGCCTGCCGCAGCCGGGCGCCGCTCCCGCTGGCCCGCCCGGCGCGGCCTCCCCGCGGCAGGTGAGGAAGAGGAGGGCGGCGGCGCGGTCGCGGGGGCCCGGGGAGCGGCGGCGCTGTTGCCCCCGGGCGGGGAAGTCGTGTCCCGGCCGGCCGCCGTGCGGCGGCCCCGCGCCGCCGGGGGGAGGCGAGAGGGCCGCCTCGAGGGGGGGAGGGGGACCGGCGTTCCCCCGTTCGTGCCGGGCGGCGCCGCCGCGGCCACCTGTGCGGGCCGGGAGCGGCCCCGGGGCCGGCCCGGTTCCCGCCGCGCGTGGCCGACGCTGCGGCAGCCGCGTCTCACACCCGACCGGAGCCCCTCGGACGCCGGCGGCGTGCGGCGGGTGCCGGCGCGTCTGCCGCGCTCCGCTCCGTGCGCTTTGCCGGGGCTGCGGTAGGAGTTGTCGCGGTGCGAGGAGTCCAGCGGTGGTGCCTTTTCGCCTCTGTCCTGTTGCGTGCTCGCAGCGGTGCGGCGATAAATGAAGCACGAGGCGCCCCTGTTCACCGCTGCTGAGTGAATCGACGCCGTGTCTCTCGAATTAGAAGTGGGCAAATCGTTGTGTATCTGAATTTAACCGTGGGCTCCACGGCCGCACACTGGGATTCTTTGTGACAAATGGCGCCAGAGAAACATCCCGGGTTGTTAATTGTAGCACGCTGCTCTTTAGGAAGCGTGGCCTTCCCTGTGTGGCACCGGGGCGAGCTGGGGTGTGACGGACCCAGGTTACACGCAGGGACCTCGGGTACCTGCCATAACCGGGCTGGGAATCGCGGGGCTGCAGAGGCTCCGGGCAGTGCCCGTGCGGTGGGACGCTGTGGGTGCAACGCCCGACAGACCGGAGGGAGGCACAGGCGCAGCGCCAGGCTGCTGTCCCACGCTTGGGGCAGGGCTGTGGGTGGTACGGGTTGCTGCCACGGTGCACGTGCCACTATTGGCTGCAATGGTTCTGCACCGCTCTGCGGTGCTGCTGATACCGTCGCACCACAGCCGTTGGTCTGGCTCCTGACGGTCGGACGCAGAAGGTCTTCAGCACGTGACTTATCTAGCTGTGACTTCTTAGCTGTACAGAAGGACATGCTGGGCTGGGTCTGGAGATATCGAACTGTGCTGGTCTGAGCCAGTGGACAAACTCTCTACTAGAGCCTGGTAGTGGTGTGAAGTGCTCTGAAACTTCTACTGTCAGCAACTGTGAACACGGATGTACCTCTCAGGGTTATTGTTCGGTGTGCTCCCTGCTTGCTTTTAAAGTCCTTTCTCATCCCAAATTCTCTTGTTCTCATTTCTCTTAGTTTCTACTCTTTCCCTAAGAGCACGCTGTTATCTCCCTTGCTGTTCATTCCCTAAGTGTTCTTAACATGTCTTTCCTTCCTCTGTTTGGATGTTTCCAGTGTTTGTAAAGCTGTTTTTCTGTGTATACGTGTGGTTTTGAATGATGAACTAATGGAAAATTTGAAAATCACAAAGGGAAGCTGCAGAGCCTGGAGGCAGAGTGCAGGCTGTGGTATGTCTGCACCCTTCCACCTCGGCTGGTGTGGCCGTGGGGCCTGTGCCTGCTGCATGGTGCTGTGTGAGGCATGTCATCTGCCTGGCCCTGCTTTGCATCCCAGCTCACAGTGATGTCCCGCTTTGCTGTCGGCATTTTGTGGTTTCTGTAAATTCAGTGCAGGGAGGTGTCTGGTTGCAGGTGGTCCCAGTGAGCCCTGCAGCCCTTTGTGTCCTGCCGCCGTGCCTGTTTGTGAGGTCTGACGCCTATCTGGGATCTGAGTAGTGTGCCTGGCACACACAGTGGTTCTGTGAGCTGAGTGGCGTGGGTAAGATAATCTGCTCTGTTTTAATTGGCAGAGTTGTTTACACATGATCTCTCTCTGGTTTCCCTCTTTTAGAGGAATGCGTCTCTGTCCCTGATTACAGTTCAGGTCAAAACCCCTCAGCACTTGCAGCAAATCTCTTTTAATTGGTCTCATTTGCCTTTCATAAGACTTATTTAATTTTCCCTTGTATAGGACCCCTTCTCCTGCTCTGTAACATAGCTGATTGCAGGGCATGGTGCAGGCAAGGAGCAGCCTCACAGCGTGCCGTGTTCCCAGCTCAGCAGGAGGCAGGCTGCAGCACATGTATGGTCAGGTCTGTCCCTGAGACCCGAGTTATGGCATGAGTGCTCCGTACACTGACTGTGCTCTGCTTACCCAGTGCCCTTGTGTGGGGGTCTCGTGAACTCAGGTTTCCCTGTCTTGCTGCCTTTCCGGTCTCTGTGACAGTGACGCTGTGAGGTTGCTACCGCTGCCTGCAGGGCCAGGCCTGGAGCAGCTCAGGCTGGCAGGAGCCGAGTGCTGGGAGCTTATTTTTAGAAGGCCCAGAGCACCATTTGGCTGTAAAGCGTGCTGTGATTTCCCCAAGTACAGCTGCATTGGTTAACTGAACATAACACAGAGAGCTCTTGAGGCTGTGTTTCCTTGTGCCCGGGCTGAGCTGCTTCTCCCTGGCCTGTGGCTGCACGCCATGCAGGCAGTGCCTGCTCCCAGCGCTCCCACCTTGGCCCTGCACCTCCGAGGGCCGGGTGTGGGGCCGTGCCGGCTCTGCAGTAGGCTCAGGAGAACCAGAACAATTCTTCTGTGTAGATCAGTATCTAGAAAGGAGGTGATACAGATCACTAGGTTCCATCTATTTGAGTCCTGTTAAAAATACAGTAGAATCCGTTAGAGCTGAACAATGAATTAACCTTCTGCACCAGGAAGATTCCCTCTGACATGGCCTGCTCTGATGCCTTTGGCCGGCTGTAAGCAATCTCCCAGCAAAGGCAATCAGCCATAGGGCTGTGAGCTGCATTCCTTCTCCGAGTGCTTGTGATTTAGTAATGTCCCAAGGTCTGATTTCATAGAAGCGAGAACTCCTGTTTGCTTGTGTTTTAAAGCTGTCAAACACCCCAAATTAGGAGAGGGTGGCCACAGCCTGTCTAAGCCTGCTTTTGAATTTGCCAAGTGAAGTGAATGGTGCAGAATGAATAGGAACAGCACAGTGCAGCACCTGCCTGTGTGCTCCCACCCCCACAGTGAGGCTCAGAAACACCTGTGTGCGTGTAGATGTGCGCCACGAGGCTGTTCTGGGCTATTATGGAAATGACAGTTCTGGGTATCCCTGTTAAGGCAGCAGGGGCTGTTCTCTTTCAGTGACAAGACGTGGGCTCCTTGGAGTGGGAGGTTCTGCACCATAGGGGAGAGAGCGGGACGTGCCACGAGCGTGATAAATGGCGTGGCAGGGGTCACAGCCCCTGGGCCTGGATCCATCGCTGTCATTTATTGACCTGCGGTTGTCTGCCGCAGCTAGAGAGTCCCAGGGGAGCTGGGCTGGCATCGCTCATACAAGAAGGAAGGAAGAAAAAGGGACAGGGAGATGACAGTTTTATCCTTCCTTCCCTCATCCCTGTAGTTCTAGTCTGCCATCTGGTCTTCTGCCTCTGTTTCTCTGGTCTCACACATTCTCCATTTCTGTACCAGGAAACTTCCCAGCAATATGGTGTTCCTCCAAGCAGGTCCTGTTGGGAGGGCTCTGTGTCAGCACTGCTGGGTTATGTGCAGAACAGCTTCTTTTCCTGTAATCATTTTTAATCTGGTAATTCCACATGATTCTCTTAGCCCAATATTTATCAGTTTTTCAGCGTGTCACTAATTAATGCTAATTTGCTTGGCAGTACTTCTGTTGTAATCAAAGTTTACATGTGAATTTTTGAGCTCTTCAATGCACGCAAATTCTTAAATTTTCAATCACTTTGTTCTGAGTTCTTCAAGGAAGCAGTGGTGTGAGAGCCCCACACTAAACCCAGAGATAACAGAGATCAGCTTGCAAAAGTGCAGGCTTCCTTCTCAAGGGGTAGGGAGAACCTGAACTGGCTGCTGCGTTCCCTTCATATTGGGGTGCAGCTCTGCTTACCCTAAAGCAGGAGGCCACGTCTGGCCAGACCAATCACATTCCTGAAGTTCTTTTTCTTGTCTTTCCCTGAATGTAATTGAAACCGAGGTTGCTTCATCGGATACTCAGTGCAGATGCAGAAAATGTCATCAGAACCTCCTGACAGGAGATGGGTTGAGCACCTCCAGAGTGATACTAACATGCTTCTAATCCTGGACTCCTTCCAGTGCAGCACTTCAATATCTTCACTGATAATTGATTTATGTGAATATAACTCTTCTGAACTCTTTTCCCATCTTCTTTACAGTGCTTTTCCCTCTAGTTTTCTTCTTTATTATTATTTTTTTTTAAAATTTGCAGTATTGATCATCTCTCTGCTATCACCTCCTCAGTGCAATCGTTCACAGGCAGTGTTTCCCTCTGGCTGGTACCAGGACCTTGCTGTGTCCCAGTCTGTTACAGAGGAGCAAGACTTGGCCCTGAGTCAGTCTTGGTTTGGTACAGGATCTTAACAGCTGAAGTTCTGCTTGGTTCTGGGAACATGCTGAATGACAGAAAGACCTCTCATGTCCTAGGTGATTTTTTGTCCAGCGAAGAGGCAGGCTTCTCTCCTGCCCAGGCTGGGAATTACACTGCTGGAAGCCTTGTGTATCAGTGAGTGGCAAGTTCAGGCTTGAAATGGACCTGCATAGTGGTGCTTTATGTTCATAACACTTCTTGAAGGGCATAAAATAATTTCACAGAAATTGAATAACTCTTAATATTAGATGGTCTCAGGTGAATGAGGAGGTGATGTGCTGGCTGACTCCTTAAAATGTCCTCTTGCATCTGTCGTGGCCCATACCTTGTTTGTTTCTCTTCTGGGGATCATCTACGTGCCTGTCTGCTCTGCATGCAGGGACATCTCTGATGTGGTGTCGTTGTGTCAGCTGAGGAGTTGAGTTCCTCAGCACCTCGCTGTTGGTGAACCCTGTGTCCTTGAGTTATCAAAGGCTGTAAAGGTAGTAACAAAGTAGGCAGAGACTCCTGAAGGTACCATATCAATCAGCAGTGAGTGGCCTCGTGTGAGGACTGCTGGAGCTCAGTTTCATCAGCTTTTTGAATCCGCTTTAAGGAGAGT